TTCAAATTCCTACTTTGACAAACGAAGGAAGAATCTTTAAACCCCTCACAATCTGTGATTTGGTGGTCCACGAGTCAAAGCACTCCCGGCACAGGCAAAGTCCCACAAAACAGGGGTCGATAAACGATTTCTGTGTTATTTTCAAGAGAGTTATAATTTGCTTACTTTTCGTTGTAATTCTCTATAAACAATTTAAGTTTTAATGGAATCTACGATGAAAACAACTTTCGACGAAAACATTTACCTTGGTGTTTTATTTGTGCTCATTATTTATTTCGCCATTGCTCATATTTATTTGCCCTTAGTTTACATATCCTTGCAAATAATTCATTATATATCAATCTTGCTAGGATATATTTGTTAATAATTTTTAATTAGCATTAATAATAGATTAGATTAGCATAAACCATATTCACCCCCTCTAGGGTTCTTCCATCCCTCTCCCCCATGCTCTTCATTCTGATAGTTGATGTACTTAATAAGATGATAGGAAGAAATGTAGACAATGAGAACCTCTCTATTCTTCCCCTTTCAGCTGCCATTTCCAGTATCAGAAACTTACAATTTGCTGATGACACTCTGATCTTTGCTAATGCAAACCCAAGAGAGATATCTGTACTCAATGCCATCTTCTATATTTTTGAAAACATTTTTGGCCTTAGCATCAATTACACCCAAACCTCCTTTGATTTACTTTGGTAAATTCAGAGATAGAGGCAGTAGGTCGGCTTCAACCCTATACTGTAAGCAGGAGCATAAGCAGGAGCACCTACTACTGACCTATCTGGGTTTACCATTAAGATGTGGGAAACTTAACAAATCTGATTGGCAACCTCTTATTGAGAAGTTCAAAACTAAGCTCTCAAAATGGGAAGAATCTAACATATCAATTGGTGGTCATCTCATTCTCATTAATGTTGTTTCGTCCTCCTTGCCTCTCTACTATATATCCTTCTACAAGCTTCGCGATTGGCTAATTAAGATAATTGATAGAGTAAGAAAAAATTTCCTATGGGGAGGGTCAATGGATAACAAGCCTATGAAATGTTTGGTAAAGTGGAAAATGATATGCAAGACCAAGAAAAAGGATGGACCTAGTGTTATTGATCTAAAGTGCCTGAATTACTCTTTTCTCTTCAAATGGCTATGGCATGCCATTAAGAGACACTCTTTTGTTGGCTCTACTCTCTCAGCTCTATACAAACACAAATCATGCACTGTTCAAAACTCTACTCACAGTTCAGCTTATTCACCTTTCTGGAATAATATCACCCTAATCAGAGAACCACTTGTAAGCTGCATCAAATGGAAATTGGGTGATGGCTCTATGATTAGGTTTTGGGAGGACAAATGGGTTGGAGACAACACACTGGGTAGCCTCTTCCCCCATGCATACTCATTGGCTATGTCTCAAAATGTCATTGTCTCCTCACAAGGGTCCTTCTGTAACTTGCAAATAGCTTATCACTTATGTATTGTTACTTCTGATATTTTCATAGTAGAAACTTTTCTTTCTCCTATTTTGTCAATTATAGTAGGGCTGGTTTTCGACCATAAGATTATCAGCATTGTGGTGAATGACGGTTAGGATTCACTCGTCACCCTTGTTGATACTTCTTGTGGAGAAGATCATTCATATAAACAAAGGAAAAAAGAATATGTTTCTATTTATATTTTTATACGACACTTTCCCGTATCCTTCTTTTATTACCAATCAATGAAATGAACAGGGATGTTCCCTTGCTTTTATGCTCAAAAATAAAATAAAATAATCAATACAATACACTGTGATCATACAAGTCCACACCTCATTATAAGAACACAACAGGTTCATCCTTTAGACCTTTACACAGAACTAGCAGTGAATTAGAAGAAATATATACTTATTTGTTTTGGCAGCTTCTACACATACTCGGATTTTGTCTATTAACGAAATTTTGGCCCATGCTTTCCCAATTGAAATTTATTTTATAGGGGTTGTTAGGGGTGTCCAAAAAGCCGGCCCGGGCCCGCCCGGGCCGGAAACCCGGGCCAAGTCCGGGCTCCGGGCCGGGCCCAGGCCGCCTCTTTGGTGCCCGGCCCCGGCCCGGCCCGGCCTGGAATAGTATTTTTTATTTTTTATGTGTATTATATATGTATAATATATGTATATATAATATATTTTTATAGATGTATAATATATGTATATATATATAATATATGTATATATAATATATTTCTATATATGTATAATGTATGTATGTATATATATACTCTTTCTTATACTATACATGTATATATAAGTATACTCTCTCTTATATATGTATAGTCTCTCTTATATAAGTATATATAAGTATACACTCTCTTATATATGTATAATATATGTGTGTGTGTGTGTATATACTCTCTCTCTTAGTATATATGTATATATAAGTATACTCTCTCTTATATATGTATAATATGTGTGTGTGTATACTCTCTCTTAGTATATATGTATATATAAATATACTTTCTCTTATATATGTATACTCTCTTATATAAGTATATATAGGTATACACTCTCTTATTTATATATGTATAATATGTATACTCCCTCTTATAAAGGTATACTCTCTCTTATATATGTATACTCCCTCTTATATAAGTATACTCTCTCTTATATATGTATAATATGTGTGTGTATACTCTCTCTCTTAGTATATAAGTATAGTATATTACAACGGTTACTTCTTCCCCATTGGCCCAACGGGCAATGGCTACTTATGCGATTTTCTCTCTCTCAAGTTATAGATTATAAATATATATAATATATTTACATATAATATATGTATATATAATATATATATAATATATGTATATATAATATATAGTTACATAATAATTTATAAGTACATACTAATACATAATTATATAAAATATAATAAATTTAAACTAATTTTTAGAATTTTTAAAAAAAAAGAAAAGAAAAAAATTAAAAAAAATCCGGGCCGATCCGGAGCCCGGCCCGGTTGGGCCCAAGCCCGGACCTGGCCCGTGGTACCCGGGTCCCGGTCCGGGCTCCGGTTTTGCCCAGCCCGGGCCCGGATTTTTGGGCCGGGCCGGGCCGGCCCGGATGGGCAGGCCCAGGGGTTGTGTATATATACCTCTCAAATCTTTAATATTTGCAAAATTCCCCCTCAACTCTTAGTATTTGCAAAGCTACACCTCAAAGCTAGCATTCTGGGTTTTCTACTGTTCCAACTTAAAAATGTTGTTTTTTTAAACAAGGTGTCAAATTTTCCAGTAGCTTTGCAGCAATGTCCTATTTAAAAACTAAAATTGGTAAGTGAAAGGGATAGAAAAATCGATGTGAGAGAATTGGAGGACAAGTTTGCAAATTTCAATATTTGGAGGGTAACTCTGCAAATATTGAAGATATGAGGGTTATATACGCAAACACCCCTATATTTAATGAACTATAACAGTTGATTATTACGTAAAGTTAATCAGGATGTCTCAGCTTATATAATATGCAAAACCAAGATTAGAAGGGGATTGCCTATTAAACTAACAAATTATTAAGTACATGCATCTTTAAAAATTCTTCATTTATTTATGTATTTTAAACTGTACCGTGATTAACTCAAAAGGAATCAAATCAACATATATATTAATTCCATTGTGCCTAGATAACATTATGGAAAGTACAGACACATAAGTCTTTAACAAGCTTAAATTAAATATCTATGTATGGAAACTCCATGGAATAAGCCTAAGGCAATATTATATGTTACTTTGTTTTATTTATTATTTAATTTATTTATTTATATTTTACTTTATATATTTTATTTTTATTTTTATTTTTTTTATTTTTTATTTTTAATTTATTTTTTGTTTTTTATTTTTTATTATTTGATCTTTTATTTTTATTTTATTTTTTGTTTTGGGAGAAAGTTATGTTGCTGTATTTGGTAAACTAAGAATATCCTATCTGTTTTGTAAACTGAAAAAGGCACATTCGAGAACATAGTATATGGTCCCACTTATAGGTCTTTTTTAGAAAATGCTTTAAAGACGAGGAATTAAAGAGAGAACAGGTAAATTTCGCGTTCTACCTTGTACAGGTAAAATTTATATTACTCGTTGAGTTCACTTCTATGGGATGAGGAAACGTCATTGTTTTGTTCTTCATAAATAAAGATATAATTTCTTACTTCATTGACTTAAGAGGTAGATTTAAAAATTAAACCTCTAGGTTAATTTAAGAGGTTAACTCTTTTTTACTTGTATCTAGAAAGAATATCGTAATTAACCATTTTTTATTTTTACCTTTGACAAAGTAAAACAAGTTAATTCACTTCATAACTCCTACGCATTTTACCCTTTACTTAATCCATTACTAAATAGCTAGAACTGTAGCTAAGATATGCAATATTCACCATTTACAATAAATAGATCATCACGAAGTATTTTCCCTCCAGGGCAATTACCAATTTCGTATTGTTTCTGCGGAATAACAGCAAGAATAAAGATACCCACAGTCCTGCGTTGTAACTAAGCTGGCTAACAAAAACAAGCAAAACACACTCAATATATAGTGATCAGTTTATCGAATTCATTAATTTTCTTTATTAATCAGTTATTATATATTAATGTACCCTTTAATCAAAACAGATCGAAGTTGTACAAAGAATCAATATGCCCCTGTATATATATTTATATATGAACTTCCCAAGGAATTACAAAAACTTAAAACATGTAGCTCCATGGTAAATTAAAGTTTATCGGTCTCCCTTCCTCCTCACTCTGTACCAGCGATCTAGCAGAAGCTCCAGAGGCTGAAGTCACCGACCTCATCGAACTGGTCCTCGGCTTGCGAAGGCGCGAAGAAGCTGCAGTTACCGAGCATGAGCTCCATGCATTTAGGCGACTGAAACGCTCCAAGATCATCGAACCACGAGACGTCATATCCCACCTCACTCGAGTGATCCGATGACGCTGATGACTCCTCTCTAACATTAGTCGTCGACGACGACGCCTCTTCAGTCGACGATGCTGNGAGTGGAGGCGGACGGAGGACTGGGACCATTGTTGTTGCTGCTGACGTGATCTTGCGGGAAGTTGAGGGAGGCTGAGGAGCCCTTGAGGCACAGGAGAGCGGCATCATAAGCGCGTGCTGCTGCTTCAGGGGTCGAGTAGGAGCCTAACCAGATCCTAGTCTTTTGATTTGGAGCCCTGATCTCCGAAACCCATGAACCCCAACTCCTCATCCTCACTCCCTTGTATTGCTTCTTGATGCTGCTGCTGCTGCTCTTCACCATTTTCAGTACTTGGTTTGGGTGGAATATAAGTGAGGAGGAGGAGGAGAGCTGGGGATATTTATAATAAGCGTTTGGAGAGTAGGGGTGGGATAAAAACAAGGGGTTAGTAAAAGGAGGGTCAATGAGGGAGCACGTGGCTTGTAAAAGACAGCGAACGAGGAAATAATATTTTGTGTGTGAGGATTGAGAAGGGTAAATGTGTACCCGTCACTTGAGTTTTACACGGAAAGAAACCAGAGCATGGGCTGGCTTTTGCTGTCGTCGTATGTAACTTTTTTTAGCGTATGCGTACCTAGATATTCTAGCAGATGTCATCTTAGTCTATATATTCAAATTGCAAATTATGTCATAATTCGTGTATTATGTGCACAAACTGGCTAGAATTAATGAGTACGTAAGAAGATACGGATGATCATAATGATACTAATTGAACTACTAGATTATTGATATTAATTTTCTTCTCTCCTTACATATTGTATAGGGAGGAAATTAATTAATTAAATTTCTCTCCTATATCCTCTTGGTTGGGGCTAGGTATCGTGCGGAAATGCATCCATCTTAGCTAGGATGTTCTTATGGGTATTAACAATTTTATTCATCATAGATTTGGAAACAAAATTTAAGTCGGGATCATGTGTGTGGTACTATCAGCTTAATTATTGTTGTGCGCAGTGCGGAAGCGGGACAACCAAATGGGCGTGTTTCGAGAACCAAATCAAACAAACGTCGAGATAAAGGTCAAACAAATCAAAACAACGGCACAAATCCAAACACAATAGTTTTACGTGGTTTGACAAATTACCTACGTTCACGGGGCAAGAAGGGGATTAGGTTTTCACTAATAGAGAAGAAGAGTATAAACTGAGATTACAAAACTCTCAAATCAATCAACTAATCTCACCAATAAATCTCTTAATCTCTCCAAATAAACCCTCAAACAGTTGCTCAGAAAAACTCTCCTTTTTCTGTGCTCCAAATATCCCCAAACCAATCTCCAAACAAAGCCAAAGAAACCCTAATTCGTATGTTGGTATTTATAGCAAACACCAAACCAAATAAGAACAAGAAACACAAAACAGGCCCTGACCCGATTGGCGGTCGACCGCCCAAAGCTCGCGGTCGACCGCGATCCAGTGACAGAGACCAAATTTGCTTACAGGGTCTCGCGGTCGACCGCGCCAAATCCAGACTCATACTCTTGCTTGTGCACGTTCGCGGTCTATCGGCCTTGCACCGCAGTCTACCGCGCAGCCCCCAAAACGACTCCTGCGCCTCCATAACTGTTCTGATCCAAAATTTCTCGCCGATTCTACAATTCTCCACCTCGGCGAAGTTTCTTCTAAAAAACTGAGCCAACACCGACCAACCCAAATGTCTCACTGTTGCGTCTAGCACGAAGTAAAACGATTCACGACAACTGACTCAATCCATAATAAGTCGAGATCCAAACAGGAGTGCGAACACTCTCCCAAACGTCGGTATCTACTCACCAAATCGGCTGTATCAAAACTGACTTCCTATGTATCCTTTTTCCCAAGGAATCAAGCCTTCATGTAGTTCACGCAAATGGCCTCCAAAGGCTCTCAAACAAATAGAAAAGTCTGCAACTCTTCACCAATACCATCTACATCCAAATTCAAATGATCCCTAATATCATCTGCATCCAAATCCAAATGATCCTCAATCTGTGTCACCTCAGCTGGAATCCCAAACGATACAGTATGATCTGGAGTATGTGGAGTAAACTCCACCCAACGTGGAGTAGCATCACCCTCCACCCAAACGATCTAGTCAACGCTCTCTACCTGTCGAGAGTCAAAAAGTAACATACCTGCTCAGAACAAAATCAAAAGCTCCCAACCAATAATCAAATAAGTCTCTGAATCCCAAAAGCGCAATTGGGTCAAATCTCACATCCTCGATGTGACCAAATACTGGGTAACCAAATATCCTATGCCAACCAAAATCTGAAGCAACTCCACCAGATCCAATAACTCTAATGCAGCAGTCGGTAACCTATGACTAAGATGCCTGAAATATGTCGAACCTCCTAAACCAGAACCAATGCTCGACAACCAACGTCGATCCCCCTCCAGAAAGGAACAATCAATCAAAATATCATCTTATCTCGTCTCCATAATGTTTCCACTCTATTGAAGTGTCTCAAACTGCTATGAGCTCGGCACAAATACAGAAATAGGTCCCTCTTGTACCTCCCGCTAAAATCAGAATGAAGTATCTTCACCTTCTGCCAATACACTTCTTCAACTGTTGTTGGCTACTAGGACTTCAAAACCAACGGGACTTGGTTGCAACCCACAAATGTCTAGTACAATCCCTAACATAGAAAACCAAAATACTAATTTACCTTCTAATGATGCCTCCTTGGAAGGCCCCTAAATGCCTGAATGAACACCAAATAGGAGACCCCTCAATCATTGAATAGAAGTGTCAAACTCTGCCTCGATCTTCTTGCTCATACCAACGTTCTCAAAGGACTTCAATATGCAGGTCAATGGTACTTCTCAATAATCCAATGCACTGTATCAACAAACAAATAACCCAGCCTCAAATCCTTCTATCTCGGCCAACTATCTCAAAGCACCAACAAATGAAGAATAGATCCAAACTGATAAAGAAGAGAATTTTACCTCTAATTGAAACCCTAACAAGAGTCTCCAAACAATCTCACCCCGCACGACGGCAACGATATCCACAAATAGGAAAAATCCCACCTTTATCTCTAAACGAAGCCCTCGAAGAGCCTCCAAAGTGATCTACTCCTCCAAATAGCCCAAGCGCCAACAAACCAATGCGGAACAAACGAAGAATAAATCCAAACTGAAAAAGATAGAGTCTTTACCAAAATGATCTCACCTTTCTTACCAAACGAAGCCCTAGCCGAACTTCCAAATTGGTCTACTCCTCCAACCAAGACAAAGCCCTAGATCTGGAATCTGGAGCTCTGATACCAACTGTTGTGCGCGGTGCGGAAGCGGGACAACCAAACGGGAGTGCTTCGAGAACCAAATCAAACAAACGTCGAGATAAAGGCCAAACAAATCAAAACAACGGCACAAATCCAAACACAATAGTTTTACGTGATTCGACAAATTGCCTACGTCCACGGGGCAAGAAGGGGATTGTGTTTTGACTAATAGAGAAGAAAAGTATAAACTGAGATTACAAAACGCTCAAACCAATTAACTAATCTCACCAACAAATCTCTTAATCTCTCCAAATAAACCATCAAACAATTGCTCAAAAAACTCTTATTTTTCTGTGCTCCAAATATCCCCAAACCAATCTCCAAACAAAGCCAAAGAAATCCTAATTCATATTTTGGAATTTATAGCAAACACCAAACTCAATAAGAACAGGAAACACAAAACAAGCCCTGACCCGATTAGCGGTCTACCGCCCAAAGCTCGTGGTCGACCGCGACCCAGTGACAGAGACCAAATTCGCCTACAGGGTCTCGCGGTCGACCGTGCCAAATCCAGACTCCTACTCTGGCTTGTGCACGTTCGCGGTCGACCGGCCTTGCGCCGCGGTCGACCGCGCAGTACCCAAAACGACTCCTGCGTCTCCAAAACTATTCTGATCCAAAATTTCTCGCCGATTCTACAATTATACCCAAGAGAGTTAGAATATACACTACAGTTAAGATGCACAAACATTAATTATAGGGTAGAAAATTCACCATCTCTTCTATTGCAAAAGCACTTAATGCTTGTAATGAAAAGTATATGAATGGAGAAAAAAAAGGATCAGATATATATTTGTTGCTCGTCAAGACATCTATCATAAACATATTGAGGAAACAGTAAGACTGAGTCCATCAGATCGATTTCGTCAGAAATGTGGATCTTACGCATTGCTAGCAAGCATTGACCTCTCACTAGCTCTTAATAATTTGTTGATCCAATACTGAAACTTAATGAACAACAATTAAGATATCACGTTACGGTCACAGTCCAATCATTAACAAAATAAAGAAGATTCATATTAGTAAACCAAGCTAATTAAGAATAATTATTATTCTTTTGCGTTGGAATGAGTAGCCCGCTTCACTTTTTACCCACACTCGATCACAAGCCCAGGCGCAATTAATCAATGTGAACACGTAACCTTTTGGGTTATGTGCAGCTCACAATTTTAGCAAGATGGCTGTGGTTTGGTTGACCACGAAGTATTATCGATTATTCCCGTCTATTAATGCGTTAATTAGTTGTGCAAAGGAAAAAAAAAGTATCCCTGAAACAAAATATAAGAAATTTTAGATGTTATTTGGCAATGGATTAAGTAACGTGAAATGGAGATTTAAAACTTTCTTGACCTGCATAACTCCAAATAGTACACACGGAAATACATTTAAGTTAACTTGTTTTAATTTGTCAAAAGTGAAAATTATAAACGGGTTAAAGTAGTCCTTCTAATATGGGTCTAAAAAGAAGAGTTTACTAGTACGTATTTCTTTATATACAAAGGGGGTATTAGTCAATTGGGACATTTTCATGCAAAATGGGATAATTGTTAAAGTGAAATAATTTTTTGTTAGTGGAATATTTTAGTAGATAAATAGAAACAATTTTGTGAAGCGGGATATTTTAATAAAATAACATGGGATAAATTTTTATAATAATGAAATATATATTTATAAAATTTTGAAGATATAAATACTATTTATGTATTTTAAACTTACTATTATTGATTGATAATTGCTTACAAGAATGTTCTTTACTATTAAATAACTTTTGGTTAGACTATAAGATATTGACATTTAATTATTATAATGATGGTCTAATGATGGTGATAACCATAATAGGAAAGAAGTAAAGAAAAAATATATAAAAATAAAAAATAACAAAATAAATATGAGTTCTAGTTTTTTACCACCTAGTTCCAAACTAAAACTGAGAATAATTTGAGAGGCTAGAACTCTTATTTTTGTATAGAAAAATTAAAAAAAAAGTGGGATAATTTTATACCATTATCCT